GCCCAATATAATAACCACACAACAATAAACACATGCATCAAATGGAAGAGGTGTGTTACTCTATTAAAAATATAAATCAGGGTGGGTATTGTGGTACAGCAGTTAACACACCTCTTGGGACACCTGCATCCCATATCTAGTACCTGGGTTCAAGTCTTACTGTTTCCAATCCAGCTTGCTACTAATGTGCACTCGGGATGCAGCAGTGATAGTTCAAGTGCTCAGGTCCCTGCCACCCACATGGGAGACACTGATAGAATTCTGGATATTGCTGGCATTTGGAGGAGTGAAATAGCAGATGGAAGATCTCTGTCTCTTTCTGTGACTTACTCTTGTCTCTCTCCCTTTCAAAAACATAAAAGAAGTATACTTATAAAGGGTCAAGACCACTTTTAACTTGAGACAACACTCACAGCACACTCTTCAGCAAAATTGCGTTTGGAAATGGGCATCTTTCTCTAAGTTATTTGTTATCGTGGAAACTTTTGTTAACTTGTTCAACACCACAAGAATCTCTTTAAATGTAAGGCATCGTTATTCATACATTTTCATATCACTCTGTCAATATTTGCTTTCAGGAGAAAAATGACTGTTTCCCCAGATTTCCAATGCAAGGATGTATTGCATCGATGAAATTACTATTAGACATGTACCAAATTATCCAGAAAGAAATGAGACCACATTTTTGGACCTTCAGAAATATTTGACATGTAACTTCTTGTCAAATGTGTTGTTTCAGAAGGCTCAAAAAAGACTTAGAGAAAGAAGAGACTGGTAGTGGATACTCCTGAGAATGTTTTCCACCAGCTCTAACTGCCTCCATGTGTGGTCTGGAAAAGGAAATGTGTCAGGTTTTGTCTGAGATTGCCTGAATGTGAAATTAGTAATGAGACACATATTTATTTTGTAGGTGTTGAAGTTAGACTGCCATAATTTTCTTTAAAACCTATCCTCATATTTCTTGAGCTAATTGATTACAATCATGGGACTATCATTTCTGTTCACCTGAAACACTTCTTATGAGCATTCATATAGGCAGCAGGAGGTTCAAGCCAGAGTCTAAGATGGTGATGCAGCAATAGTGTAAAAACAGTAGTGCCTCCAGGTGTAAGGTGTAGGATTGAAGAATTTCAAGTAATTTTTAAGAGTGACTGATTCAGTGGCCTGAGAGTTATTTACATTGCTTAGGAAGAAAAGACATCTTTGAAGCAAGGATATTTGATCCACCTTGCAAGACAAAAAGGATTAGCACTGGAAAATGCTAGGAGGAACATTCCATGAATTTGTTACAGTAGAACAAAAATCTAGTGCAATTGACTACTTAGGTTGAGCAAGGAAGGAAGATCCATGAGGCTAGAACAGGGTGAACATGAGCTTGGAGGGAGCACCAAGGACCAGATTACCTAAAGCCTTGAACATAAAGAAACAGACTTTATTCTCAGTGACTGAATGAATAAGAAGCCATTAGAGAGTTTCAAACAGTGGGTATATGCAATCAGATTTAGATTTATTAGTTCTGGCCTTAATAGCAGTTATTTCTAATTGGGGACACATAGGGCATGGTCTTCTAAAACATGTGTGTGTCAACTTTTAGAGAAAATGTGTCGTCTGGAGAAAGCCTAAGAGGGAGTTTTGATCTACTCTGGTTCAGAGACAGACTGATTTCCCGGCTGAGAATCACTTCACTGGGATCTAAATTCTATGAAGGCAGATAGGCTCCAAATTTTGCACAAGGCCTGCCATGTAGGAGCCAGATCATAAACATTTTTTAATAAAATAATGAAATCGTCATAATAATTTTCTGTCATTTCAACAATCATCAAGGGGAAGTTAAAATGATACAATGCTAAATGAGAATCTAATAATTCCTAGGAACTATTCTGAGCACTATAAAATGTAAAATCATTAAAATATGTTACTCAAGATCTGTGTACTCCTATGCATACCTGTCTCCAGGAAAATGGTTTCAGCACCCAGGTGTATATACTCTGTTCCAGAAATATTGTATCAGGAATTTTCATACCACCAGACCAACCTTTTCCATTGTTTTACAATCTCTACTTGAAAACCTATCTGTAGTTAGCAAAAAAAATTAGATCTCCTATTTGCTTGTGACAGTACAATATTTTTGAAAAATGGTACGTATTATTCATAGCTAAGAATAATTAATTTTATAACTCCCAAGTAATGTTTCAGTTTTTCATATGAAAAATAATTTGTAAAAAAAACAAAATATAGTGTTTCCATTCTTTTTTTAAAAGATTTATTTATTTATTTGAAAGTTAGAGTTACAGAGAGAGAAGGAGAGACAGAAAGAGGTCTTCCATCGGTTGGTTCACTCCCCAATTGGCCGCAATGGCCGGAGCTGCACCAATCCGAAGGCAGGAGCCAGGAGCTTCCTCTGGGTCTCCCACACGGGTTTAGGGGCCCAAGGACTTGGACCATATTCCACTGCTTTTCCAGGCCATAGCGGAAAGCCGGATTGGAGGTGGAGCAGCAGGAACTAGAACCAGAGCCCACATGGGATGCTGGCACTGCAGGGGGCAGCTTTACCCACTACACCACAGCGCCAGCCCCAGTGTTCCCATTCTTTATCTTGTTTTCATCCTCCTTAAAAAAGTGAACAATCTCAGTAAGTTATATTTAATACTAATTTAAAGTTCAAATACTATGTGTTCTGTAATTTTCATCTAAACATCTTTTCCCAACAAAATAGAGATAAACAGCTTTCATATTGCATTTATCCTCCATTTAATGAAATGTCCCTAACATGAAATGTTACCAGGCAGTATAACTAAATGTTTATGAACATATAAATGTCTGCACATGCAAATGTATAAATTATATTTCTATCTCATTTATGTAACTGTGTCTTATATATCTTAAGTTAGCATTTAGAATTAAACTAATTATTTCTGTGCAGGTAATAGATTCACTTAGAATGTTGTAATGAAAGGCTTTAAACAGAATCTTGGCTAAGTCTTTCCTAATGACTTATGGCATAATAAATAAGTATAAATGTAAAACAAAACACACAGACAGCAAAGGAACCACATCATTAAAGGGTGGAGGAGATGGGTAGTTGAGTTTAGTTGGCACTAGTGGTACATTGGCATAGCTTTTGTCATTCAAAGCTCTATAAAATGAAAGTGAAGTTTGCATCTTAGCCTTAATAAAGTTAAGTTGTATTGTTCTTATAGCTAAAGCTAGAAGACATCATCTTATAGTAGTCTTAAATACAAGCCTGAAAAGTCTGTTTTGCACTGAAACAATAGAAAATCATAACTAATTTTGAGCAGATAGAAGCAATTAAGATAATATTTTGAAAGCAGGTATCAAACAGTGGTGTATGGGTGGAAGAGAGGCAGTGTGACCAATCGGAAGCAATTGTAAAATATGTGTTTAAATAAAAAACAATAGGGAAAAGGCAAAAGAAAGGATCATACAAGAATAGAATGGAAAAATGCCTTCATTATTTTGTTTATGTGATTATCATTTCCTAGATTCCAATCAGAATAAATTCTTATGAAAGTAATCCCAAGTGATTCATGTTACAATTTTTAAATTGTTCCTGAACCAGTCTGTGAGTCTACTTGTTAACAAAATGGAATTGAGACAATAAATATATGTGAAGGGGTTGAGGACTTAGGTTCCTAAAAATCACTCCAAGACGTACTGATGTTTCATGAACTACTTACTATTGCCAGTTTCAACAATCATTAGTTTTAACTAATATCCATTTTGTCAATTTGCCAACAAGTAAGAGTAAGAATTTCTCCTTTGATATATTTCAGCTTTTTTCTAATTCAAGATATCTAAAAAATAGTGTTTCGTCAAACTTTGTTTTGAATCTTTGTCAAACAAATTTGTAGGACTCACCTGCTACTATAGTTGTAATGGTTTTGTAGCTTTTTTAAAGTTTACTTCATATGAGAGAAGCTGAACATCTTTCTCCTGAATTTAAATATTTCGGTTGTTTTTATGGCCCTTGCCTAATTTCCTGCTGGACTATGGTCTCTTTCCCTTCTTAATTTGTTGAACTCTTTCTTTAGTAGAGGCAGTAAGCCTTTGACTGTAATGTAAATACAAAACTATGTTAACTAAAAAAATTTGAAGTATTAAGTTAAAAAAATTAAATATGGTTATATGCCACAATGCTCATGATAAAATTGGTTAACTGTTCTTGATTTATAGCAGTTATATTTAATTAAATTCTGATTATAAAGTAAAAGTAATTTAAAATTAAGAATAAACCATTTTGCTGAACACAGTACAACTTAGCAAAAAAAAAAAAAAAGAATATAACTGATCAAGAAACAGAAATGTACACTGTTTGCCTTAGTAGTTAAAAACCACCAAAAAGGTAGAAGTGTGGCCTAGCTAGTTAAGATGCTTTCTAGGAAGCCTGTGTCCCACAGCAGACCACCTGGGTTCAATTCCTAGCTCTAGTTCCTGATTCCAGCTCCCTACCAGAGTAGAAGTGGGCAGGCAGCAGGTGATGGTTCAAATGATGGAATTCTTACAAATATGGGAGAACTGAACTGGGTTTACCACTCCTGGCTTTGGCCCAAACCGAGTCATGGTCATTGCAGGCATTTGGAGAGCAACCAGTAAATGGGAGCCCATTCCTCTTGGCTATGTGTTTCTCTCTCTCTCTCTCTCTCCCTCTCTCTCTCATAAATACTTTTTAAAAAAAGCTACCCAAAGAAAAGCCAAAGTACAAATAATGCTTTTGAGAATTTTGAAGTGACATGAGTTGTATACATTTACAAAGTATAGGCAATTGGTAAGCAACTAGCGATAAAATGTGAATTTAATGGGCTTATTAACTACACCTTTAATCTAAATAATTGTACTGGTATGGTTGAATATTTTGGTGTGTGTATGTGTTGTGTTTTAGACAAAATACAGCCTAAGGAGAGAAAGATACAGATGAACATTTGGTGTTATTGCCTTTATAACCAATATAATGTAATGAAGCCAGTTCATATTCTACACAGGTATGACATCAGAGATGATTACACACTGAGAATTAAAAAGGCCATGAGTACAGATGAAGGCACCTATATGTGTATTGCGGAGAATCGAGTGGGAAAGGTGGAGTCCTCTGCTACCCTCACAGTCCGAGGTAAGAGGCTTAAGATGTCAGAGGTAATTGAACCAGGAGACTAATATTTGGTTTAGTTGGTAAGTGAATGCACAATCAAAATATTAGAGTATACTCTTGCTTTATTATTATATTAAATGCCTACATTTTGTGTTCTATCATTAGTTGAAATACAATTACCTCCAAGTCTGAGTTCCAAATGATGATTTAAAGGTATTAATTCTAACTATTAAATAGTTATGTCCACTGTTTAAAGCAGAGTTTATGCACCTTAAAGTTAAAAAGAGAAAGCCTTTCCATTAGTCTTTTACATTCCCATTGTTTTCAACAGCATTTTGCTTTTAAATGTCATCAGTTTCAAAGGTACTCTAATGTTTTCTATTCACTAGTTTGTCACTTAGTACCGGTAGAACACAATTTTGAAATTGTTTTTTTATTTCAGCATTCACAAAAGCAATCTGAGAAAAAGTAACAGTGCTTCCAAATGTGAAAAATGGACACAGAGGAGGTCTGGCCTTGAGATAATCTGATTTAGGGAGTGATTTGTGAAGTTCATTGACCTGAAGTAATTGAAATTGTCAGTGCCGCTCTTGTAATAACTTTCACTTTCTGGGTGTCATGCACTTTCTCAATCACGGATTAGTGTTCGTTTATAGACTCTCTGGCATTGCTTATAAACGAAGGCATTACCACCCTAGACTTGGCTGAGGTAACTTCCTTTCTGTGGGTACGTGATGCTCACAGGAGGGAACTGACGTGGTCCCAGTTACCAAGTCACACCATGTAGACAGCTACACTGACTCGTGCCAAGTAGAATTCCTCATGGCATGTTTTACTCATACAAGACTTCAAACAGAGATGGCTAGGCTCATCCCCCATTCAGTCTTTAAATCTCTCCTCCACTCCCAAGTGTGGCTCTTCCTCCCATCCTACAAGATAAGGATGCTGGCCACCAGTTCCCACTGATGTTTCACTTACATCTCACCCTATTTAGTCACACCTCTTAGCCTTATGCAGGTTTGCTTCTAGGACTTTTCAGAAGATTAGAAGAGTTTGGAGCTGCAAGAAGTGTGTCAGGGATTCTCAGGTTGCTCCTCCACCTGGTAATAAAAATGATTTCAACCACAGTTAGCTGGAAGGAGACAAGCACTCTGGATTCCTAGAAAAAGAATGGCACATTTCATAATTCTCAGTTACTCCCTTCCTAATGCACCTAACCCATTTTCTTCTCCTCTAGACATTCTAGTGCAAATTTAAGTATAAAACAAATGTAGACAAACTAGAAGTCTAACTACTTAAAACACTTTCACTCCTCGTTAGTTAACAAGCCATAAAGGGCTATGATCATAGGAATCGAGTATGTATACTGCTTCTACATGTTCGAAATCTATATCTTTGATAAGCCAGAGTACATCTCTATTCAGATTATATTCTCTGGGCAGACTTTGTGGTGCACTGGCTAAATTGCCTTTTGGGACATCTGTAGCAAGTTCCAGCCTGACCACTTCTCATTCAGCTTCTTGTTGATGCAGACCCTGGGATGCAGCACTTGAGTTCCTGCCAACTACTGGGAAGACCCTGACTGTGTTCCCAGCACCTGGCCTTGGCCTGGCCTGGGCTGGCCCTGACTGTTGTGGGCATTTGGGGGAGGGAACTAGAAGATGGAAAATCTCTTTCCAGCTCTCTCTCTGTCTCCCACTCTTACTCTGAATCTCTGCTTTTCAAATAAAAAATTGAAAAGTAAATTACACTCTCTATAGGTGATCTATGTGTTTGTTTTTAACTAGGCAGCCCTTTAAAAAAAAAAAAAAACAATTCATGTAACCAAATTACCCCCAAGGTTTCTGGTTTTCTTTTTTCTGAAGCAAATGGAAACAAACAAGCCAACAAAAAACAACCAACCAAGAAATGTTCCATTCAAAAAATATTTGCTGACTAAACGAATGATGAGAAAATGGGAGGAGTTGTTTTTAGAAGCAGCAGGGTTCTTTTTATACTTGAATGCTTGGATAAATGGTACTTGAAATGGTCTGTTTGCTTTCAGATCTTTCCCAGATAATTGTTTTCATAATTTGTTGAAAGTTCCATGTTTATCATTTCATTTAACATAGCATAGTCCTCATGCATGTATTTTTGAAGCTCATTTACAAATCTAATAAAAAGCATTACTTGTTTTTAATAACACATTTTTAAAAATCAGCAAATCTTACGCTTACCGTATCTTGTTGATGGATTAGAGTATTCTGTGTGGTATGTATTTATCACTCATCCAAGACTAAAACCTAAAAATGGGGTTAAAGAAAAAAAACAACAACTGCATAGCACAATATCATTTAGAGTAAAAATGTTGTTAACATTTTTTACCATTAGGAAAAGCAGTTGGGATTTCTAATGCTAAGAGGTTAATAGGGGGAAAATGCTATTATCTACGATTTAAATTTTTTTCTGGACTCATTTTTCTATGTACATAAATGAAGTGTTCAGCCTTTCTCTGGATTGTTTTATTAGAACAGGGTCAACTGACCCAAGAGGCCATGTCCATTTTCATCCATTTAATGCAGGGACACAGTTTAGTTTAATTTGCTGATTTTGAAAAGGCCCACCCGCGGGGCTCCCTCACCGCTCCCTCAGTCTCTTCTGTTTCTTGCAGGGTGAAATGTGTTGCTATGTAACAAAGACAAGAAGTTTTATTGGGATGCTTCTACTAAATCAGTATCTTAACATTCATTTTAGTCAATTGGGGAAAGATCAGGAAAGTTTTATAGCCATAATGTGAAAAGATCTACTCAGTTTCATTTTCTAAAAAAAATACAGTAAAAATAAACTATAAAGTTGAGTTTAATATCAAGTAGCTCCCTTTGTTAGAAGCAAGAGTAGTGAACTTCCTCAGATTTACATTCTAATCAAATAATTCACAGGTAGAATTTTTTAAATGGCTTGAAAATGACTTAACACAAACTGCATATTTATAAGTAGTATTTCCTCTCATGCTTCCATTGTTCAATTGGCTCTGCATAATACAGATTATATTGAAAACTTTCCTGGGCAATACAGATTCGATTCTTCTAAAACTTTTCTATATTAAAATAAAAAAGCAACATTTTATTTATGTTCCATATGGTTTCTGTTTCTTTCTTTACTATCGTAGAACCCTAGATGAAAGCAAAATTCTTTTTCCATTGGACATCAGCAAAATTAAGAGAAATTACATCAGTTAGAACAAGGCACAATTTTATGTTAGTCTGTTGTCTTGTGTTCTTTCCCATACCCTCTGCAGAAACAAAGAAATTATCATCCTGTAGGCAGTTGACTTTTTCTCTTTTCTTCTTGCTATAACCAAACCAACCATAGGACTTGGCTTCAAGAAGGTCACGGGTGTGTGTATTCTTTCAATTCCATTTGGCCACATGATTTTTGAAGCACCCCTCATATGCTGGGGAGCAAAATAGGGTTTAGCTAAGCCAGAATGTTCATATTGCTGCTGCAGTTGCCATTTTTTCTTTCTTATTACCTTATTTTTCTTTCTTATATCCCACTTTCTTATTTTTCTAAAGATTTATTTATTTATTTGAAAGGCAGAGTTACAAAAAGAGGAGAGAGGGAGACAGAGAGAGATCCTCTGTCTACTACTTCACTCCCCAAATGGTTACAATAGCCAGGCCAGGGCCAGACCAAAGCCAGGAAACAGGCACTTCATCCAGGTCTTCCACATCAGTGCAGGAACCTAGGCACTTGGGCCATCTCCCACTGATTTTCTAGGCGCATTAGCAGGGAGATGGGTTGGAAGTGGAACAGCTGGAACATGAACGAGTGCTCATATTGGGATGCTGGCATTGCAGGCGGAGGCCTCACCTGCTGCACCACAGCACCAGCTCTGGTCTTCCCCCTTTTAATTGGGACTAGTATAAAGATAAGACTGTGACTCTCATTGTAGAGGCGTGTTGTCTCTAGAGATTGCATGTGGATAATATTCCAATGTGTTTGAGTGAATGAATGAGCACCGATATGTTTTCAATGGGTTGCATCTATCTTGCCATGCCCAAAGAGTCATCAGCAGTAACAAACTATTCCTATGCTCTTAAGTCACATTTTATCTGTGCTAGGGAGGGCTCAGTCCACTGGGTTGTGGGTGAAAAGCTTGTCCATTGAAAAAAAATTATATTTTGGTTGTAACTTTTCCCACAAGTTCAAATGTTACTAAATATACTTCCACTTCATTTGGATAATGAGACCTCATTTTCATATACTTGTCAATTGTATTTTTGTAAAATGATTAGCTACCTAATTATTATTTTAAAATAGAACAAACTTTTTTTTTTTAAAGAAAGCCTTCTTAAAGTCCATGTGTATCTCTTACAGTTTCAACTCATTCATAATAAGGACAGCCCATGACTACTGATTTCCATGATTGAAAGTTATGGTATAATAAAAATATAATAATTTGTTGAAGTAGCAGTTTGAAAGCTATTCTCAGTGTGAACAAGAATCAACTTGTCAGTCATTGTTTCCTGCCCTCTGCCAAAAGAAGAAAGCTTAACAGGAGTTAGGGAGCTACTGAGTTGAAATCTCCAAGGATGTTCCAACCTATTTGTTATATTTTCATCTGCCCTGTCCATGGATGAAAAGTGATGTGATCTTAACCTATTACTGACTGAAAAGCGGCGTCAAGGGCTTTTCTATAGTCCTTGTAATGGTTCTGACTAACCATGCTTAAAATCCAATTGCTATTTAAATCAGACAGTGAGACCTCCTTGTATTGACATGACATTTGCTAGTCTGTGACTTGAATAGTTATATTCATCAAGTTCTTAACTTCAGGGTTGCACAAGGCTGCTTACCTCAAGATCTTTGAAATAACAACTACAGTAAGTGGTGATGATGATGATGATGATGATAAAACTTTACCTACACTATCTCTCACATTGGTGATAGCTCATTATGAGATTCTAAGTAATTAGTACTTTAGAATTATAAATTGCAGTTTTATCAAACTTGGACTCCCTGTTCATACTTGAATTATGAGGCTAGAAATCACTCTATTGTCCATACTTAAGTGTGACATTACACATCATGCATTCTGATAATTTTCTTTTTTTTCTTTTTTTAATTTCTTTTTTATGTTCTCACCACACCATTGTAATGTCTACAGCTCGCCCTGTTGGTAAGTAGCCATCCTTCTATCCATTTAGCATGGCTTTGCACAATGCTTCATAACTCATGCATAGCAGGATTTGATAGAATGAAATAGATTATTCACCCATGTTAAAATGTTACTATGGGGCTGTGCTCTACAAGTTGCTCTTGATTTTTTTCATCTCTTTGATAAAACGTTTTTTGATAAACCATGGTGATTTTTGCTACCTAGTGATGAATGGGTCATAATTTTTGTATAGAAGAGTATAAGAATGATTAATGCTACAAACCACTAACTTTTTAAGGAAAAAATACTTTTCTGTTTTTCTTGAATGCATAAAAGTTATTTATTTATTATGATTGACATTAGTTAAAAGATTATAACCTAAATTAAGAAGTTCTATTGTTTTATGTACTTCTTTTATTTTAAGCTGCTCAGAGTCCTAGCCTTTTAGGAATATTTCCAATTGCTATATAGTTATTATTTGCATGCCTGTTTAAATAAAAATTAAGTAGAATGCTTCAAGTTATTGTAAGTAGATGCTTACCATAGTGGGGAAGGGAGAGCTGAGCTGTGTTGATGTGAAAAGTTTGTGTCTGTGATGCTAATACATATTGTCCTCCATTTGGCTTTGCAGAATTGAAGTAAGTTAGCAGCTTGTGCTTGCAGAAATTTAAGTGATGACTATTTGTAAATATTTGGGAGATAAAGTCTTTTCAATATATTGATTTAATGATATTTTATTTATTTTAGGTTTATTTTAACCTACCAATAAATATGTTTAAATAGAAAAAATCTTGATAATTGTGTTGTAAGCACATGAATATATGGATACATAAACAGACAAATGAATGGATAATTTAGTGCATTTCTTAGTTAATATACCAAATTATGTTTCAGTAACTCAATCAATTTTGAGAGCTGTATAAATTGTCCATCTTGCTTCAAACACTTTCTTGCTATACTGGTTTGACTAGGTTGACATTTGATGTATTTTGGTCCAAACCCAGTGACACGTTTTTCCTCTTTGGTTACAAAATTCACAGACCTAGCATTCTTACATGGACAGCAAGTACAGTAAATAGAAGTTTGGTTTCCCCACCTGAATTCATGGACTGCTGTTTCATTGAAGTATTCTCCTTAGTCATTTACTCTCCCCAGTCTTCAGCTGTTTCTTCTATAAAATGGAGAGATTAGTGCTAACTTAACAAAGCTATTACAGGAATGGTTTTATTTCAGTTTGATCAAATATGTGAAATCTGTTTTGTACACCAAGTTGGTTGACATATTCTGAATTTCTGAGACATGTACCATTTCACATTTTAATGTTTTTGAAATGCAGTTATAGTGTACAATTAATTGAAACATAAGCTACAGGTTTTTTTTTCCTTGTGATACAATTATTAATTCAGTTGTGCATTTTACAACTGATGTTTGAAAATTGAGGAATGTATTATAATTTTTACGATTCATTTTCTTTTCTTTGTAAGGATTCTCATTAATGATAACTTTAGATGTCTGTGGGGTGACATCTACAGTTAGAGACGGGAAAACAATGAGATGACACAGAAAAAGCAAAGGGAGAACTGACACAGTAGGCTGCATGACTACTGTGCCAGATGTCCTTCTGTCAACATCTGTGAACTAGGTCACAGGTCCAGAAACAGCCTCATTTTATTTGTCATCTACCAAAATATTCTCAGTATACATATATAGATATATAGAGAATATCTATATCTATATAGATATATAGATATGTTATATATATGTATAGATATAATATATATGTTATATATGTCTAGATATATACATTATATATAACACATATATGTCATATATAGATATGTATCTATATATGTATATATGAGACACATTTATAATCTGTAGCAAATTATAGCTACTATATAATAAAACACTTTCAATGGAAAGATTTATAAATCTGACCTGTTTTTGGAATTCTTAATGACCAAGCAATATAAAAATCTTCACATCATTATTTAGGCTTTTTTTAAAGATATTAAACATTACAGTTTTATGGTAAATATGAAAAGAGGTAGATGGTTGGCTGAGAACACGTGTAAATAGAAAGAATGGAATGAAGTACATCAAAATTACGGTTGGTTTAGCACTGGCAGCGATTGAAACCATGACATTACAGATAAACAGGAAAAATCACATTTAAATTATAAGTATTTATAGAAATTTGTGCCAATGTACCATGAATTGATTTCTGTTATTTTACAAGTTCCCAGAACATAAAACAATGTCAATAATTTCCAATATATTTAAAACCTTTAAACAAAGAAAAGAGTGCATTTGTTTTAAAAGGTGATGTTCACAGAGTATTGAGATGTATCTGTCACCTACAAGGCATTTCAAAAAGTTACTTCTATTTGATTCTTGTTTGAAATGATTTCTTAAATTCCCATTGGACTGGAAATAAAAAATAGCTTCTTGACACATTGTACTTTATTCTGAGAAAGTCTGTCATTTCATAAATCTATCTCAAATGACTTATGACAATGTTCAGAAATATGAAGAACTATACTTTAAACTTGACAACTACTATTAATTTTGGAAACTGAATGTTGGATACAGTTTTGTTGGATTACCAAAGAGACTGAGTATGAGAGAATTAGCATGCTTTTTTCTTCATCATCATTGAGTATCAATTTTAATTCACAAACTACAGGCATTTGAACTCTTATTGTAGGGTCAGAAGGTATAAGTTGGGTGAAATAATGAATTAAATATTCAAGTCATAGAAAAACTACATTATGCAAATCAAAGTTTTTACTTTCAAAGCTTTTAATGGTGACATAAAGGTTATTTTACAAGGTGGAGGACACAGGGGAAAAAAAGTAACTTCCAATCCCTATATAGAGTAAATAAAGGAATACCTACTGATACAAAATGTAAAGAAAATTCAGGAGGTAGTTCTCGTCCAAAACATTTGAAAGAAAATTGGAAAACAATACAAATTTTGGAATACTTATCATTTCCCTGAATGAAAATTCTTGGTAGTCTGTGTGGAAGGCTCTATCCTATAAAATCCAAAACTGGGAGTTTCTTTTCCAAATGTGTGACTCTTCTTTGCTGCATTTGGGTTAAAGAACTTGCAGCTATATGCAAATTGCAATTGCAGCAAAACCTTCTGGAATGCAATTTTGAAATTTCAGGAAAGCTTGATTTAGAGTATCCCCAGTATGGGAACTACTACTGGGAGTATTCAGGCATGCCCTTACCAATGTCAGGTTCTACTACACAGCTGTAATGTCGATAGACCCTCAGAAAGAGCCCTTTCATCCAATTTCCCTACTTGGTTGTTATCACAAAATCTATACTAAAACTACTTTGTTCATTAAAAATCCACCAGTCCTTCCTCTAGTTTTGACTTTTTACTGTTCTAAAGGCATTCTTTGTATGAAAAGCAAGAACATGTTCTGGGACGTAGTTAAGTAGGAATTGTAGAAATATTCATTTGTTTATTTGGAAAAATCTGCTGAAGGAACTGACAGAAGAAAATGGTCTAAATAGGGATAAATATCGTACTTCCTATACCCATCTGTCTTATTTTTCTATTGGAAGCCTTACCCATGCTTAAAAATAAAAAAGAACATCTATTTTGGAAATGGGCAACACATTTTTTCTAGCAGCAACTCAAAACATGATGAGTAATTTGGAAAAGAACTAACAAATCTACCAGCTGCCTTGTTTGTGAAGCTGTGCCCTGCTTCCTTTTCTATCTTGTGTACCATATGCTAAGTGCTGATTGCCTTGGGTATAGAAACTGAAAAGCTGGATGTATCAGGTGAAACTTACTTAAAATATCAAAACCAAGCTGACAATGTACACAACCTTATGGAAAATTCTGAGTATTTCCGAATGTGACTCAAATCTATGTTTCTTTCTAATAAAAAAAAAACATAACTGGCCCCAAAGAATTTATATATATATATATATATATATATGTCATATATATATATATATTATATATAGCAAAATTCCACATTTTTAGATTATTATTTTAAAGAGGTAGCCACTACTTTAAATGGAAATCTCTAGGGACAGATTTTTCCAATGTTTCAACCACTGAAAGGCAAAAATTAAATATATCCTCTCTTAGAAAGCTTTTTGGAAAATTTCATGAGTTGAAGTGGTATTTTGTTATAGTATGCAGTGAAGTATTTTTTTTTTTCATTTTTGAGCCCACCAAGAAGTCCAATAAAAAGTCAATGTTTGAAAGCTTAATTTAGGGGAAATTCTATATCAGGCATTACTTAAATAATGATGTGACAGATATTTTCAGTATCCTGTCTCCCTCTTCACTTTGAAATTTGGAAAACATAATGTTCTCTGTATAGTTTATTATCGGATATATCATTGTTTATTTGTAATTAGAAAATATACTATTATTATGTATGAATCTCTCCATGTTGAGAAGGGTTTTGTATCATAGACATATAGAGTGAGATTGGAATGAGACCTAAAATTTGATTTCATGAACCCCTTCTTTGGACAACTGGTACCCTGTAACCTGATGGGATCATGTCTCTCCTTAGAGCTCTTAACTGCGTCCCACACTTGGCACTGATCAGCCATTTCGTGCAGGGTCCCATTCAATTATTATTAGGCATCATGTTTTTCCTTGCTCCATGTGTTTTGATTAAATCACAGGTTTAAAAAATGTGCTCGACTTGTATATCCCAATAGTTTCATAATGTGAAACATTTGAAATATCTTAAGTTAGCTCTAGTATTTAAAGTTGAAAACAACTACATGTCACTTTGCACACTGTGTTGGATTTGGCCTGTGTGCTTGAACAATATTTGTCTGCTGTCTCTATATGGAGTCTAGGTATAAAATATTGCCTTTTTTTCTCAGAACTGTGCGAAAATATTCTATTGTCTCGATACTGAATGGCACTGTGGTGAAATCTGAAGCTTTCACGCTATTTTCCTCTTTTGCTGGAATGTTCTTTTCCCATTTTAGTATCCATGTAGTTCCTTCTTCCAAATAACTTTGCT